GATCGGTGTATGGCAGGTGTAAGTCCGGTGTATGGCAGGTGTAAGTCCGGTGTATGGCAGGTGTAAGTCCGGTGTATGGCAGGTGTAAGTCCGGTGTATGGCAGGTGTATGGCAGGTGTAAGTCCGGTGTATGGCAGGTGTATGACCGGTGTATGACCGGTGTATGACCGGTGTATTGCCGGTGTATGGCCTGCGTATGACCGGTGTATGGTGGGTGTATGGCCGGTGTATGACTGGTGTATGGCGGGTGTATGGCCGGTGTATGGCCGGTGTATGACCGGTGTATTGCCGGTGTATGGCCTGCGTATGACCGGTGTATGGTGGGTGTATGGCCGGTGTATGACTGGTGTATGGCCTGTGTATGACCGGTGTATGGCGGGTGTCTGATCGGTGTATGGCAGGTGTAAGTCCGGTGTATGGCAGGTGTAAGTCCGGTGTATGGCAAGTGTAAGTCCGGTGTATGGCAGGTGTAAGTCCGGTGTATGGCAGGTGTATGACCGGTGTATGACCGGTGTATGGCGGGTGTATGGCCGGTGTATGACTGGTGTATGGCCTGCGTATGACCGGTGTATGGTGGGTGTATGGCCGGTGTATGACTGGTGTATGGCCTGTGTATGACCGGTGTATGGCGGGTGTCTGATCGGTGTATGGCAGGTGTAAGTCCGGTGTATGGCAGGTGTAAGTCCGGTGTATGGCAAGTTTAAGTCCGGTGTATGGCAGGTGTAAGTCCGGTGTATGGCAGGTGTATGTTTTTTTTTATATTTGAAAGAAATCTGCAGTTACAAAGATTGAAAAAAATGAATTCATCCTTCGGACACCTTCAGGGGAAGACAAAACCTTCCCGGGGGAACCGTCCCCAAACCTGTAGAGGAAGTAGAGCTTCCTGTCCCCCCAGAAGTAGTCAGATGGATTCCCCGGGATGGAATATTGGGATGTGTAATACCTAGAGCTCTATGTGTTATTATCTCAGAGACCGCCCCCACCCCCATCCTTATTATGAAATGATTAGTTCTGTCATGACATAATCTCGTGGCGCGGCTTTGCGCAGATTATAACTCCGACCACAAAGATCCTCTTCCTGCTACAAATCTTCTCTGCTCCATATGTGTGTTCTGTCCCTGGTGCTCTGTACAGGAACTGAGACCAAACATTGACCTTGGACGTAACGTAAACATCTATCACATCTCCTCCCATCCCTGTCATGGCTGACCTAGCATCAGATATATCTGTACAATGTGCCAAGGGCATGCGTGTGCCATGTAACATGTGTGTAACATGGGGGGAGGGGAGGGACTGAGGAAATGCTTCCTTCTGCCTGCAGCAGTCCGATCGCTGGGGGAGGGGAGACTGAGGAAATGCTTCCTTCTGCCTGCAGCAGTCCGATCACTGGGGGAGGGGAGACTGAGGAAATGCTTCCTCCTGCCTGCAGCAGACTGATCACTGGGGGGGAGGGGAAACTGAGGAAATGCTTCCTCCTGCCTGCAGAAGACTTATCACTAGGGGAGCAATCCGGCTGCCCACCAAATTAATATTATTTAGAAATGACAACACATCACCCAATCCGTTGGCACAGTCATTGAACTCCATGCAGTACACGGTTCTGTCTATTCCGTAGGGACCCATTAGTGTCCTGTAGAAGACAAAAGGCAACATTTCATTATGATTAGCGGACAGTTCCTTTAAGAACAGAAGGCGGAGTCATGAATCGATGAAATCATACACAGGAAGAAGATTATTCATTCAACAGACTCTGTTTTCCATAATTCCCCTCCTCCACCCTCCAGAACCCCATTGCTGTATGTCTCTGCTGATTGGTGGAATCCATCCTCCATGTATTGCTAAACCCGGGGCTACGCTGCCTCTGCCCTGGAGGAACACTTCATAGCTGACAGTAAAGTGTACTTGTGGTGGGTTGCATTGTTATTTGAAGTCTGTGGTTACTAATCCAGAGTGAAGGTGCCTGGGGGGGCTCTGGCTACTCACACCAGGGAAGGATGGAAAAGAAACAATAAAAACCTGTTTAGAAATAACATTTATAATCACAATAATTATAATTATATAAAAAAAATGTCAAGGTGTTCCCAAGGAGTGTGGAACCCAAAATAGGTAGCAAAAAAAGGATATCCTTTCTTCTTTTTCACTATCACTATTGCTAGGCAGCTTAGTCTTCCAGTATTTGTAGAGAAATAGAAATAAATAATAATAAAAATGTAAAAAATAAATTAAGAAAACAATAATATATACAGTATATATATAGATCTATCTATCTATCTAGATAGATAGATAGATAGATAGATAGATAGATAGATAGATAGATAGATAGATAGATGTATATATATATAAAAGCAGGAAAAAGTGATCTGGGAAGCATAAAGTC